TCGAGTCGAAGACCTTGGCATTTAAACACACCCAAGCTTTCATTTGGTGCATATTGTTGATTTATTTACTCTTTCCAAGGTTGGTCTAGGATCAGTGAGCTTTTTATTCACGCCTCTGTGGAAAAATCAGTGATGAAAGTGATGTGGATAATGGTCTAATAAGACATGGCAGCAGGTCTAGATTAACTGGTGACGACTGATTCGGAATGTGCTTGTCACTGGTTCCTGTTGTCTCCCAACCAAACTAAAGGCACAATCCACACTATAGTTCCAGTCCGGGGGTGATTTTTTCCAAAGGGAGAACCATGGAAAATAATAAAAGCACGTCAATGAGCGTGGCTCGGATTAATAATGATATGGTAGTTATGAGCAATGGCTGTTTACAAGCTCACACCAGCATTAATTAGCTCAAAACGCAATATAATTAGGTACTGCTGTAAGTCCATTTCCAAACAACATGACTAATCTTTTATTCAGACATTCTCACGCTACTTCTGTGCTTTATTGGTCCATTGTCTGTGCCTCCCACTGCTTGGTCATTGATCTGAAAGACCTCCATACCCCTCTTCAGGGGGACAGACAGACAGTCTTTTGTATGGCAGTCCATAAGTACACATCTCATTAGGCTTCATGAAGTGAGAGATTCACCATCTATTGAAACACAGCCAGTTTATACCAGTTCCAACAGCTTGCTGAGATTTTTTTTTTTTTTTGCACTATTTAGTGCAAATGTAGAATATCTTTAGCTCTGCAAACCAATTTCCCATATCATAAAAATGTTGAAAACCAAAAACGTGAGTGAATCAAACTTTATGACTCAAAGAAAATCTCATTCACCACAACTCATTTAGATGTAAGGCACAAGAAATGCTTGAACTTTTTTGTGGTAATAACCATCAGGGGGTACAGAGGAATCAGGGGAATTATGGTTAGCATGTATAACTTATATTTACAGTATGTAAGAGATTTCCATTCATTTCCTTTTTTCCATATACAGTAATGACGTTTGTGCAGAACCGGTGACGTACAGTGTGATTGAGCCAAGTCAAATCATGCTCAGACTAATCCAATGCAGTGCTGGAGTCTGGTCTACAGTAAAGCTTCACTGTATGCACACAGCTTCTGCAATCAGAGTCAATTCAATCTACCGTCAGTCTCAGCAACAGGAAGTTCCCTTCAATCTATGTTGTGAGAAAAGGCCATGATAGAATTAGCAATGATACATACTGTAAGAGTTCATTGGTCTGTAAAACAACCTGAAGTTCCTTCAAGGCATTAGTGATTCCTGTCCTCCCATGTGAGCAGGACAAGGTATGTGATGCAAAACAATGTCGGGAAGGATTAACTCTGGTCATGATCACTGAGCTTCAGTTGAAAGATGACAATCGTAAGAAATATTTGGGCAGTCTATAAAATCCATAACAGTATAGGTGGACCAAACAAGATTTGCTCCAGTGCTGGGAAAAAGAACTAGGCAGCCCTCATTAGTGGTTTAACTTTGCTGCAAGGCACCTGAGTCAAGTTTTGGCATGGTCTACAATTTTAATGAGACTGTAGATTTTCATGCTGACCTTTTATATCTTTTACTTAAAGGTAAAGGTCTCCTTTCATTGATATACAAAGGAAGAAAGAAATGAATGTGCATCTAATTCTAATTCCTAATGTCTGAGGCAGGCATGAGCATGTGCGTCAGCATGCTGCATGTGCATCTGGCATGCTCAACCTGTGATCTCTTCATCATCCTGTATGGATGACGGAGAGTGCAAAACAGGGCTATGTGACAGAAAAGATTCCATCATAATCATAATCTTTTCAAGGCGCTAGAAAAAAACATTTACATTTACATTTATCTGACGCTTTTAGCCAAAGCGACTTACAATTGCTATATATGTCAGAGGTCGCACGCCTCTGGAGCAACTAGGGGTTAAGTGTCTTGCTCAGGGACACATTGGTGTCTCACAGTGGATTCGAATCCGGGTCTCTCACACCAAAGGCATGTGTCTTATCCACTGCGCCATCACCACCCTTAGAAATGGAACTTTCTGTTTCAACATTGACACCACTCTTTCCATTATATATATACACTCACCGGCCACTTTATTAGGTACCCCATGCTAGTAACGGGTTGGACCCCCTTTTGCCTTCAGAACTGCCTCAATTCTTCGTGGCATAGATTCAACAAGGTGCTGGAAGCATTCCTCAGGGAGTTTGGTCCATATTGACATGATGGCATCACACAGTTGCCGCAGATTTGTCGGCTGCACATCCATGATGCGAATCTCCCGTTCCACCACATCCCAAAGATGCTCTATTGGGTTGAGATCTGGTGACTGTGGAGGCCATTTTAGTACAGTGAACTCATTGTCATGTTCAAGAAACCAATTTGAAATGATTAGAGCTTTGTGACATGGTGGAAGTAGCCATCAGAGGATGGGTACATGGTGGCCATAAAGGGATGGACATGGTCAGAAACAATGCTCAGGTAGGCCGTGGCATTTAAACGATGCCCAATTGGCACTAAGGGGCCTAAAGTGTGCCAGGAAAACATCCCCCACACCATTACACCACCACCACCAGCCTGCACAGTGGTAACAAGGCATGATGGTTCCATGTTCTCATTCTGTTTACGCCAAATTCTGACTCTAACATCTGAATGTCTCAACAGAAATCGAGACTCATCAGACCAGGCAACATTTTTCCAGTCTTCAACTGTTCAATTTTGGTGAGCTCTTGCAAATTGTAGCCTCTTTTTCCTATTTGTAGTGGAGATGAGTGGTACCCGGTGGAGTCTTCTGCTGTTGTAGCCCATCCGCCTCAAGGTTGTGCGTGTTGTGGCTTCACAAATGCTTTGCTGCATACCTCGGTTGTAACGAGTGGTTATTTCAGTCACTGTTGCCCTTCTATCAGCTCGAACCAGTCTGGCCATTCTCCTCTGACCTCTGGCATCAACAAGGCATTTCCGCCCACAGAACTGCCGCTCACTGGATGTTTTTTCTTTTTCGGACCATTCTCTGTAAACCCTAGAGATGGTTGTGCGTGAAAATCCCAGTAGATTAGCAGTTTCTGAAATACTCAGACCAGCCCTTCTGGCACCAACAATCATGCCACGTTCAAAGTCACTCAAATCAACTTTCTTCCCCATACTGATGCTCGGTTTAAACTGCAGGAGATTGTCTTGACCATGTCTACATGCCTAAATGCACTGAGTTGCCGCCATGTGATTGGCTGCTTAGAAATTAAGTGTTAACGAGCAGTTGGACAGGTGTACCTAATAAAGTGGCCGGTGAGTGTATGTCTGTAAGACGAGGTAGTTGCTGATATCTACCGCCTCGATGGCAGGACAATCTTTCAATTCAGTTGAAAAAACGCTCCTCTTCATAACGTAAGGATCACGTCCAACATATGTTTGATTTTTTGTTTATATCTTTCTCTTGTAATAGCGTGTAAAGTACAGTACGGACTTTCCTCCATCTCGTCCATTGCGCTCTTCACTCCCTGCCCTCCATCTGAATTTCACGCGTCATCATAATCACGTGACTGAAACCCAGCTATTAAGGCAGTTCTGAAGGCGAAAGGGGGTCAAACACTGTATTAGTATGGTGTTCCTAATAATCCTTTAGGTGAGTGTATATATAATTAAAGATATTAATACTTGTATTCATTGAGGATGCATTAAATTTGGTCGAAAGTTACAGTAATGACATTTACAACATTACAAAAGATTTCTATTTAAAATAAAATGCTTTCATGCTTAAATGCTTTTAATGTAATTAAAACTTTGTATTCATCAAAGAATCCTGAATGGTTTCTATATGGTATAATAGTTTAAAAAAAAAATATTAAGCAGCACAACTGGTTTCAACATTGATAATTATGTTTCTTGAGCACCAAATCAGCTTATTTGAATGATTTCTGAAGGAACGTGTAAAACACTGAACAGTTAAAATCTAATAATAATTCACTAAATTACTGTTTTTATTGTACTGGTCAAATACATGCAGGTTTGTTAAGCATAAGAGACTTCTTTCAAAAACATTTAAAAACTTTATTGACCCCACTCCATTAAACAGCAGCGTAATATGACAATAGCCAAACTTGTTTATGCTTATTTAAAACCTTAACTGAAATTGTAACAATATCAACAACACAGCTTTTCTAAGTTATTGACTCGCCAGTGTTAGCAGCATATATAGACATTAAACGCTGAAGATGTATGAAACAGGAAATTAGCTGCAAGTCACATAAAAAGGTTTACTTACTGTTCACCCTGTTAATTTTTTAACCTCTCAACTACTCTGAGGTAATTTCTAGAATATTATTTAGAGAATGTGATGTGTTATGTGCAGGGGCTTTTATTATCAGGGTTGTATGTAAAAAGAGTATGTGGTGATCTAATAAAACTAAATTAGCCAGGCTTAGAATTGAAAATGAACAATGTCTAATCATGACAGTGATGCGGCTTTAAACTATGCGGGATCAATTTATTGACATTTTCAATTAAATTAATTTTATGATTAGTTTGAAATGTCTCTTCAAGTTTGTTACAGTGACAATTTTTAGAGGGAATTTCATAAGAGCAGAATCAAGAGAGGCTTGACATTTTCACAATGCAGGTATGGATAACAGTAAACACTTAGATGGAAGAATTTTACAGCCATGACAGCAGCCAGACCAAGGTAATGGACTAACTGGCCAGAATGACTGACAGCTGTTGAGACATAGACACACACTTGACTGTACATGAGCAGTCACATCTGATTACATTCTTGCTCGTATGATATACTGCCAGACAACCATCAACTATATCCAGTTCTTTCTTAGGAAGCAGTGAAATCACTCTTGTTTTCTTTTTAACGATTAAGAAAGACTAACCAAGTCTACAAACAACAGGAACATGGTTTGTATCACCATTAAACATTTTTCCAAGTGAATTTCACCTTCAAAGGTTTAGATAAGAGGTGAAAATGTATTACCCAGTATGAGCATTAAATACTTACAGAGAATGTGATCTTAGGCAATTTAGATTTTCACATCTGTTTAATAAGTAGTATCCTTTGAGGCCAATGTTTCTTCATAAACCAAAATCCGAGTTTGGCATTAGAGTAACACAATATACAATATCATTTTAATATACTGTTACATTTATTAAAGACAAAGATCAATTTGAAATTTGTTCCAATCTTTTGTGAAAGTGGCAGATGCACTGTTAAGTATACCAGCACTAACGGATTGAGTAAAAAAAAGAAAAAAGGAGAGCGCCATATGGTGGTCATGACAGGAATTACCCTACTGCTAGTCATCTCCCCAACCCTCATCTGAGAAAATATCAGCCTGTCGTTTTTTGAAATTGTTTTTGAAATCCTCATCAAAGTGCTCCAGATCATCTTCTTTGAAAATACCCTAATAAATAAGGAAAATAAGAAAAACAGTTGTGTGATGACAAATGCATCCTCTAAATAATGAATCTGAGCATGCGAGATGGCTAACAAACCACAAATATCCGTGTCCTATGGTGTGGTGTTCTCACCTTTGGTAGGTATCCCAGCAGTTTTGTCGCATGCTGTTTTAGGAGCCTCTGTCTCTCCTCTTCGATGATCTTCCGACGCTGAGTCTCTCTCTCCTGCTCCATTGCTCTCTCCTCTTCCTCCCTCTCCTGTTGAATATTTAGATTCATTCATTCCACATTATCAGCAGATATTGGTATAGTCTGACTCGGAAGGAACTAATGAGTGAGCTGCACATTTTCATGTTTTGAGGTTGATTTGTGGGTTTGGGTCTTACTTGTTCAGCCAGATACAGCTGTCTCCTGTCTTCCAGCAGCTTCTCCACAGCCCGTTTGTGTTCCAACTGTTTCATACGACGCTTCTGGGCATTCATCTGCTCAATTCGGTCATCCTCTGCAAACTTGGCCATCATCATCTGTCTGAAGGCCTCCTCTTCCTCTTTCTCAGCTTGTATACGCAACTGCTTGAAAGCCATCATCTCCCGACGCGTCTGCTGTAGCTCCAACCGCTGCCGGATCCTCTTCTCCATCTCTTCCTGTGAGTGACATGATGGTAAAGAGATGGTAAATGTTTACATGGTGCTAGTGAATCTCACAAAAAAGCATCAATAAATAATACAAATTATTACAAATAATTATTATAACAAACAAAGTATTACAAATTATTATTAATATAAAATATAAAACAGTATTTGGTACCAATTCCTTTTAGTGTCCTTTTTACATGTAGTGCATAATTACTATATATTGAGCATAATTACATGAAACTAACCCTAAATCACACCCTAATCCGAACCCTATAGTAAGTACATGTAGTTAATTCGTTTTTCTCAGTACTTAAATGTAGAATTACACTGTAACACGGACAACTTAAAATAGTGTAACCCAGTATTTTAATACAGTAAAAAAAAAAAAATGTATTACAAAAATAAGAATTATTATTGATTGAGGAAATCTTGAAGGCCCTAAAATAGGCTTAATTTCTTGGGGTTATTTGAAATATGAATTGGACATTTCATTGACAGGAATCATGAGATTCACCTTTGTCATCTTTGTAAAATGTTTAAAGTGCATCCAGTAAAGTGTGATGTAGTAAGACAGTTCTCACAATTTCTTGTTGTCTTGCAGCCTCAGCCTGCTCTTCCAAGTAGAGTTCCTCACGGACGCGCTCAATCTTCTCACGCTGTCTTTTCTCAATCTCGATCTGCTCAGAGAGCTAAACCAGAAGGAAAAAAAGAACACATTAATATTTGAATCTTGATTACTCGCCTGTACTTGATGACCCAGAGGGTGAGCTTTCATGTACCATTTTGTGCAGGGTTTCTTTCTCCTGCTCTCGCTCTCTAACTTTGGCCATCCTGTCCTCCTCCTTCCTTTGCTGGTATTGGGCAAACTCAATGATGCGCCTGTTCTCTGCTTCCACTTTTTCTCGCTCCATACGTCTCCACTCTGCTTGCTGCTTTTTAAAATCTTCAATGTATCTCTGAGTGGTCGTCACCTTCTCGAGTCGTAACTGAAGCTCCCTGTAAATTAAGCTTGCCAGTTTCAAACCATCCTAGAACCATCTGATCAACTCATCTAAAATAGATGTTGTGATATTGTCTGTTTACTCCAGAATAATAATTTTTAAAAAGTAGCAGCAAATAATAAACTTAAGAAAAAGGAAAACACTCACATCTGGTCCTCCTCATTGATCTTTCGCACTATTTCGTCCACCATGAGTTTTTCTTTAAGAAACTCATCATAGGCTTCCTGCCTCTTGCGCTCCTTCTCCTCAAGCTGCTGCTCAAGCTCTTGCTGGTAGCGCACCACCTCTTCATACTTCTTCTGCTCCAGTTTCTCCTTTTCCATCTCTGCACGCTCATGCTCACCCTTCATCTTACGGGCAACAGCAGCCTCTTGTCGCTGGTAATATGTTAAATCACAATAAGCAAAACCACAAAATAGATGGGCAAATGTAAGACACTACTTTGGAGTTCACACTCACCATTGTCTCATATCTCATGGCCTCCTTTTCTGCCATCTGTGCTGCCCGTTCTCTGTTCAGGTAAGCAGATTTGAGCTTCAACTCTAGCTCTCGAAGCTCAACACTGCCAATAAAACACAAAGTTTAATAAAACGGTAAAGCTATAAAAAAATATATATACAGCGCTACAGAGTGTCATTCAACTCTGGTCTGTTACCTGTTTTCTTTAATGTGCTGCCTCATCTTCTCATCTCGCAGTTTCTCATTATTAATTCTCGCCAGCTCCTTGGCCATCCTCTCTTCCTGTTCAAGCTGCCTCTCTCTGAACTGTCTGTCCTCTTCTGCCTAAAAACATAGTCAAGTCAAGTGTTAGATTTTGATTTTATATTCACATTTAATTGTAATATTAAATATATGTTAAATGTGTTGATTCAGAATAGATTGTGATGATCCATGCATGTTTTAAAATGCATGATTAAAATGTTTCATGCATGTTCTTAAATGTGCAATGTATGTGGGGTTTTTTTTGGACCTCAGGAAGGAAGACTGCATTGCCATAGGGCACAGAGCCAGGGCCGGTTCTAGACATTTGGAGGCCCTAGGCAATATTCATGTTGGAGGCCCCCCACCCCCAATAAAAAACTCTTGAAACAAATATGATTCCTAACCTTTTAATTTATACAACATTTAATTTTAGATGTTGTATATTTTTACTTACACAGTACATAAGATTGGACACATTACCATTTTTAATGTTTTTGAAAGAAGTCTCTTATGCTCATCAAGCCTGGATTTATTTGATCAAAAATACAGAAAAATATATAGTGAAATATTATTACAATTTAAAATAATGGTTTTCCTATTTTACTATACTTTAAAATATATTTCTGTGATGCAAAGCTGAATTTAGTGTCACGTGATCCTTCAGAAAACTTTATAATATTCTGATTTATTATCAAATGTTAGCAATGGTGCTTAATATTTATTTTATAACCTGTGATACTTTTTTTCAGGATTTTTTGATTATTAAAAACTTGTTTGAAAAAAGTCTTCACTATCACTTTTTATATATTTAACACATCCTTGAAGAATTTTTTTTTTTTTATTCAAATAAATGCAGGCTTGTAGAGCATAATAAGAAACTTCTTTCAAAAACATTCAAAATAGTAATTGGTCCAGACTTTTTACCAGTAGGCTACTGTATGTAGGCCTACATATTAATCAAACTTTAATCTCTTTTTTGTTTAATGAAGATGTTATTGTTATTTTGCTGTTTTATTCAATTTATTCACAGTTCCAGAATACCACTTCAGGAGATGAACATAGCCTAAGTGCTTTTATCATTTTTTTCATAGCTGCGGTATTGGCAGGGTTTTTCCCTCCCATTTAATCAATATTGACTGTAGATATTGTCATATTATTAATATAAGTAATATGATATTATGCATTGCATTGTTAGCTTATGCTATACACAATTCAAGAGAAAGACACGGTCGCTACTGATTAGAAAAAAAATTCTAAACTGATATTATTGGCGATATTATTGGCGTAACTAAGTAGATGATGTCAGGGTAGGCTATAATCTAATCATCAGCAGAATTTAGAAGATAGACCCGAGATCCTTTATTTTAAACATTTAAAATGTTGTAGTGTGTTGGCTTTTTTTACTTTTGTAGCGTTTTTAGTCAGCTCCCGACGCGATGTTATTCATTGTACGCGCAAATTCAAAGCGTTAGTGCTGGGCACGTTAATGACGCTCGCGCTCTTTTAAACTCGTAATAAAGCGGTGAATGATTTTTCCAGAAATGACGCTGATCTACAGTACAAGTTTATATTTAGAATACATTGCAATCACTCCAAAATAGATGACGACAACTCACACACCTGCATTACGAGCTGTGCTTCTTTGCGTGCCTATTTAGGCTTTTGCTTCGCAAGCACCTGATGGATGCGTCCGTTACACACACTTTCAGAAGCCGGCACCCGCTTTGAAACGGAAACATTAAGTGGTTTAACTGCAGATGAGTGACAATTGGCGCCTCTATATGTATACAGTCATGGGCTGGCGTTAATCTGAGGTAATGTAACAGTCTATGGTTAAGATAAACATCGTCACTATTTTTAGTTAATTAATAAATATTGAAATAAATTGTAGATAGGACATTTGTACATTTTTTTATTTTTTTATTTTTGTCCCTCTGTCTGGGCCCCATCCCGCCAATCGGGCCCTAGGCACGTGCCTAGTTTGCCTTTGCGTTAATCCGGCTCTGCACAGAGCTAATGGGGATCCAAACAAATAAACAAAACCGAGACCACGCATCTCGTTTTGAGCATACAGCTGACGTATTTTATAAAAACCAACCTTGAGAAGTGATTCCTCGATTTGTTTGCCATACTCTTCATCTTGCATCTTGCGCAGGAAGCGCTTTCTCTCGACTGTTTCTTCGCACTGGAGGTTGGCTTGCAGCTGCCGCTCTTTGGCGATGCTTTTGGTTTGATCTTCACGCATTTCCTCCTGTTTGCGGTGATCCAGGATCATCTTCTGATGGTGGTTGTGAGAGATGTTGCGACGCTGGCTCATGAAAGACTGCAAAGACACGGTCACTTTTAACTTAAAATAACTTAATTTAAGTTCTACAACACAACCTCGCTAATTAATGACTAAAATCGTGTCTTACATGTTATCTTTATTAGCGCATCGTCTGAGCATCTGTATACAATGATTAGTTTGTTCAAACAGACTGTTCGTGGCTTTTTAACTATTAAAAGCTACGTCATATTTACCATTCCTCAGGTGTGCTCGACAGCTCCGTCGATTTTGCTTTTGTTTCTATCCAAACAAAGTAGGAAACACCACGCTCATTTGTTTGTGAATCGTTGTCCTAGAAACGCCGGGCTTTCAGACCTGGGAATAAAGACGAATTTTATTGGCCAGCGCAACTCTTGCAGAGCCAATAAACCGCAACAGGTTCCGGAAGTAAACATTCCATTTATTTTGTCAAAAGATACATTTATGTTGAAGGATTCCTTAAAAACACTGATCTATAGAGAACTAAAAACTGTGTAAAAAAAAAAAATATATATATATATATATAAAAAATATGTCTCGCGCGCGCTCGTCCATTTAATGGCAGTGAATAGTGACCAGCATCAATCTTTGTAAAAAAAAAAAAAGACGCAAAAATATCACAGAATGATCCCATGACACTTCTTCTGAGTGCATATGTTTAGTGAAAATCAAACCGAAGTTTAATGTATTATTTAACGAAATTCTTGACCACCTTGGCCATTTGGGCTAAACTAGTTGTTAATACAACTAGATTCTCACAAATGTGCATGTCGTGCAGCTGTGCAGAGAAGACCAACAGAAAAGGTCAAAAAGTTTGTTGAATAATACATGACATTTTTGTTTGTTTTTCACTAAACCCTATCCCCAGAACGCCATGTGTCGCATGGGATCATTCTGTGATACTTTTGCATCTTCTTTTACAAAGCTTGCTAGTCACTATTTTCTGCTATAATGAACGAGGGCGAGCATTTTTAAACAATTATCCTTTTGTGGTCCATATTTCTTGTTCGAGAAGCTGTTTCTCTCCTATATAAGTCACAATAGGAAAGGAAAGAGGTGTGTTCCAGAAATTGTTTTATTATTGGAAGATGAGAGGGTCTATAGGCTCTTGGAAAAAGCATTACGGCTAACTTGGATCACTTGAGGAACCTCATCATATAATGGCAGTGACATCAGTGGCCACCATTCAGAGTTTTATGACAATCAGTTACAGTTTACGTTGCACACAGTTTCTTGTAGATTAGCTTGTTCGTCTTGTGAATAATGTTCTATTATATAGCTAAAAACATACAGTAGGACTGCAATTTTTTGTGGAATGTGCTTTACTGAGCGGTTAAAAGGGTGCAAATAGCTGCGAATTATACAGTGCGCATAAAACCGCATTTAAGATTAAATCTATTCATAAATAAACAGCTTTATTGGGCATACATAGCAGTGACACTAATCACTAAAAATTTGTAGTTTATTTGTTGAAATCTGGAAGCCATAGAAAGAGTAAATTTTTTTATTAAAAAAGCTATTTTTTGTTTACCTTCATTCATTAGGTAAACAATGCATTATTAAAAAGCTTTATCATTATTAGGTATACGCAGCAGTCATAAGTAATTATAATTCAAGTCTAATTCATTTGTTGAAACCTGGAAGCCATAGAGAGACCACATAATTATTTTATTTATTTTTCATTAAACAACAATAATTGTTGGCTATTGTTATAGATAGATAGATAGATAGATAGATAGATAGATAGATAGATAGATAGATAGATAGATAGATAGATAGATAGATAGATAGATAGATAGATAGATAGATAGATAGATAGATAGATAGATAGATAGATAGATAGATAGATAGATAGATAGCCTACTTACTTTATTAATCCCAAATGGGGAAATTGTAGTGCATAAGCAGCCAGACTTCTCAGGACAATATATTATACTAAAACACAAACATAGTATACACTAAGTAAAGATTAAACAGAATATACAGAATAACACACACACACACACACACACACACACACACACACACACACACACACACACACACACACACTAAAAAAAACAGTAAATAGCCTATACAATTTTTAACTACACAGAGTATACAAAAAATGCATAGGATATAGGTGTATACAGTTGCAATTACAAGAAAGCCGCAAATAGCCAACACAGTGTGCATGTTTCATTTTCCTAATTAGCTTCGGTTAAACAGGCTTATAATAATTTGGGTAAATGTGTAAGCTAGATTTATGCCTATTTTTTCACATCTTCACAATGATTTCCATCGTGTGTTAATATTTTTCCTTGTAATAATGTATGACTTGCAAAAATGAGAACTGCTGCGTCTGAGAGAAGCAAAGTGTATGCGCGTTGGGCACACGCTTTATGGCCAAGCATGCGCACTTAAATAACATCGGAATAACGGGCCACTGACTTTAGTCTAGGTTTTTCCTGGTCTGTAGCGTAATTGTTTTCTGGAACTGCAAAATAGCACCAGGGAACGTTTGCGCCGGAACACGCCTCCTCTTTTCGCTGAACCGCCCCCGGGAGCGCAAGTTCATTCCCTAATTTACCGACGTGCGTCTGTGGAGGGAAGAGTCCGCTGTGCGTCGGGTGCAAAACAGGAATGATACATGCGTCGGTATACAAAGTCAATTGACTTATGCACAGCTGCACTACTTCCTGAACTTAAGCCAGCTCCTTTATTTCCTGTCTTACATTATTGGACACACTTATTAATTCAGGTGTGCCTGACCTCAGTAGTCATAGCAACAATAATCAGACACACCTGGATTAATCAGTGTGTCCAATAATGTAAGACAGGAAATAAAGGAGCTGGCTTAAGTTCAGGAAGTAGTGCAGCTGTGCATAAAGTCAATTGCGCTGGGTGCAGGGCCCTTAATGTCATGCGGTCGGTCTGCGCAGTGCCACTTCAAGGCAAACACACCTAGACCATTGCAAATATGTTTGGAACCGCAGAAGCTATTTTACAACCCAGGTTTAAATAAAGCAACATAAAGGACAATGATACACTGGAATGGCAATAAAAATATGTTTATCTTATCTGAACTGATAACCTGTTACCCTCTGTCATTGAACCTGGATATTTTGCAACCGCAGCACGTGCGGCATGCTCCTAATAAAATCCAGATGGAACACTGACCACTGCCTCTGTCCTGTAATACCACACTGAAAATCATTTCTTAAGCCTCTATATACGGAAGAAACCTTTTCAATTTTCAATTTATTCAAGTTGGTAAATTTTACATGTTGTTTATTGTTCAGCAACATCTACAGGTTGTCCCTTGATAAAAATAGGTTTATTGGATTCCTGAGATAACAATATCTCTTCCTTGTTGTATTTGCCAGGAAGTCTTTGTCATCCTTTGATAAGAAAAATATATAAATTAACATTTTTCCTTAAGCCACTTTAGACACCAAGTACACAAAACCTATACCTTACTGGCTCATGGAAATGGTAAGTTAATGTGCTGTCTTTTTCAGATAATAGGCTACAAACAAATGACAGAGTATTATGATTTGATAATTTATTGAATGTAATGAATTGATTGAAGAAAAATGTGCTGAATGTGTGAAATCGATTTGTCAACATCAGTTTGCTTTTAGTAAACATTCACATAAAAACACCACAATTTCAGGTTTGCAAATTTTCAGAGTGTGGTTTCAATTTTAATTATGAAGAACCTTTCTCCTTTTGTTTGCAGACTGTCTTTCTTATAAAAATGTTTTTAGGGATCCTTCTCAGTCTCTCACTGAGTTTATGGTTCTGTGATGCTAAATCAAGTAAGTGTAATTATCTGATTTGATTGAAACTCATTTCTATTAAGAATGTCATTATATATATATTTTTTTATCACAATATATATCACCATGTGACACATTTTCTGACTCACTTGCATTACAGCAAAACCAGCGTTTACTCTTTTTGTGATCTTTCTACAGTGGGAGCTATGTATGTAATACAAGAAACAGAAGCACCATGTATTAATATCAGTGATACCAAAAGCAACCATGCGCTTGAAAAACTTCTCGACAGAATTAAATACGTTGCTCGAAGCTGCAAAGAAATTCTTGACAAATATCATGTTTATGAGGGTATGGTTTTTTTTTTTTTTTTTTTTTTTTTTTTTGTCTTAAGGAATAACTCAATTTAGCTGACTCAATGCTTCTGTTCACTCAGATGGCCTGTACTATCTGATCTCATCAAGAGGGGTCCTTTACCAGACGTTCTGTGATATGACCACTGCGGGCGGCGGCTGGACGCTGGTGGCCAGTGTTCATGAAAACAACATGTATGGAAAGTGTACTGTTGGTGACCGCTGGTCTAGTGAGCAGGGCAGCAACGCAAACCGGCCTGATGGTGAAGGGACATGGGCGAACAGAGTCACATTTGGAACCGCAGAGGCTGCTACAAGTGATGATTATAAGGTACTTTATTATTACATTTTACAACCCTGGTTTAAGGGAAGCAATATAAAGGACACAAAGTCCATGGACTGACAATCAAAATATGTTTATCTAGAATCTAAAACAGAATCTGACACAGTCCTTTCTGTCACTAAAAAAAGACAATCAATATTGAGTAATATGAGAGATATAATCAATTTGACTGCACTGACACTATCGAATGAGAGCAAAACTTGAACTGAATATGAGCTTGATTATATTGTCTTTTGTATCTGCTTTATATCTGTGGGTGGTGATTTCATAGCTGACAAACTTGTGTTGATCTGATTAAATCAACATTGAACTGAATTGAGCTGGATAATGACACTGTCTTCCATAGAGCTGCTTTATGGCTGAATCAAATTTGTTTCATGACTGATGAACTTTGCAACATTCACACTTATGTTGAACTGTATTGAATCAACATAAATTGAGCTGAATAATTACTTTATTGTTGAGCTGCATTATTGCTGAAACCAAAGTCGTTTCATTAATTCAGTTTTGCAACAGTATCATTATTTTCCTTTTTATTACTGTGAAGCTGATTTGATAAAATCTATATAAATAAATATGATTTGATTTGACAGAATCCTGGATACTTTGACATTGCGGCACAGGATGTGTCTGTGTGGCATGTTCCTAATAATATGGCGTTTGAACACTGGACCACTGCCTCCATCCTGAGATACCACACTGAAAATCGCTTCTTAACTCTATATGGAGGAAACCTTTTCAATTTATTTAAGGTCAGATACACTTTAATGCCAGTTTTGAGTTTTAAACATTCCCAGAAATATAAGTGGGCAAACTTTTATCTTAATTTCCGCAGAAATTTCCTGTGAGGTTTGGAGTCGGGACATGCAACATTGATAATGGACCTGCTATTCCAATAGTGTATGATACTGGAAGTAAGGATTCTACCAAAAAACTGTATGGACCTAATTCAAGAGGTACAGCAATACTTCTTGAGCTAATATTTTTTCAGATATTTTAAATAAAGTATAGCTACATCAACTGACTGTCATAAAATCTGTGTGTTATTCAGTGATGGTGTATTCTTTTTGCAAAGCATCATCAATGTTGAGATCTAATCACATGTCATGTGTGCATGGACCTTTCATGGCAGATCATCAATTATATATTCTGTGCTTTTTTTCAGCAATATTTGATCCTGGATTCATCACATTCAGAGTCTTCAATACTGAAAAGGCAGCCATGGCTCTTTGTTCGGGCGTTAAACCAACCGGCTGTCAGACTGAACATGTGAGTTAAACAAATAATGGATTATTTACAATTGTGTTTATGAACAGCATTTGATCACCACATGCAGTTATTCATGCTTCATTGTATAAAATATAGGAAATCCATTTATAGTATGGTAATACAATTTCAACAGAAAAAAAAATTAACTGCACCAATGTTATATGAAGAAATGCATATGTATGTTGTTTTGTTATTAATTCACTCATATTTTTGCAGTTCTGTATTGGTGGAGGTGGACACTTTCCTGAAGGGGTCCCTAGACAGTGTGGAGACTTTACAGGTCTCGACTGGGATGGCTATGGTACTCTTAGAGAATGGAGTGCTTCCAGAGAGATAACTGAAGCAGCTGTACTTCTTTTTTATCGCTGACACTCTAAAACTAAAACGACCTGCTTCTTTTTCTTCTCTTTTGAGATATATCACATTTATTAACATCTGATTGTTATATGCACAATTCTTTTTTTAAAGATATATTATATTGGTCTGTGATCTAATAATAAGTTACATTTGTTCTGTTGAAACTTTAGGTAAACGTGTTTATGTGTTTGTAACTAATAATAATAATAAAAAAAAATGTCATTAATGAGCAGCTTCTGCTAGTTTTAAAATCCATATCCAGTACTGTATACTTTAAAACTCTCAGTGTTCATGTTTCTTTTTACAACTGTTCAAAAGTGAAAAAAAAAAAGAAAAAAAAATCCGGTGGATTTCCACCAACTGAAACATTTACAAAACATTCACATTTGTTCATACACAAAACACACATAGCAATTACTGTAAGATCTATTGAAACATTCATCATCTCATGTCACACTCATTCTTTTGCCAAATTCTTTATTTAGAGATTATTTCGGACAATAATAGAAGAGTAAAAATGGCAGGGACCGTTTACAAAATAAAAAATAAATAAAAAATATCTAAACACAACAAAACCTCAACAGACAAAATATATTTTACAATAATGTAAGTAATATTTCAAAATATAGTAATTTATTCAAAGACATTACTAAACACACACACACACACACACACACAACATTAGGTTGAAGCTTGAAGTCTCAGTGATCACTAAATCAGAGAAACAAACGTGAGAATTGTATTTGAAACTATACAAATGAAATTTAAGAAAATATTGTGAAAAATTGAAGTGAACTAAGCAGATGATACCATTTAGTCTATTTATGTTTTCGAAATAAACTTAGAAGTGAAGGTAAACAAGCTGAGTGTTCACGAATGCCATCAGAATGACAAGTTCTTGTGTCATTGTTCACAAACAAGGTAGTCAAAATGCTTAACCACGTTGTTGTCAATATAACAGTAGCCTACTCTGTCAGTATTTCCAGATTTAACCCAGATAGCAAGCAATCATTGAAACTGTAGCGTCTGGACCAATCAGACAATTATTCATTATATTTAATGCAGCAAACCCACTCTCCCAACAAACTATTTTATAGAGTTATGTGAACAGTCACCTGAAAGGCAGATAGGGCCTCTGGTTACCATGGCAGGTAAAAAAAAACATGACTTAAAAAATGTGTTATTTGCCTGTTTTCACCAATAAAAGAGTGGTAGGCTGTACCATGTCAATGACCTATCCATTTGATTCCTGGTGTCAGAATTATTTGAAAAAGTGGGTTCATTTGTCTTTGTATGTTGTGGTACAAACGAACCCGAACAAACCCCATGGGCCATTAGTTGACCCTAGCAACATCAAAAATTCTTAACTAGACACCATTAGGGTCCCAAAAAACAGGTTACAAAAAACGGGTACATGGGAATCTATTTCTCCTGCTAGCTAGACTAATCTGATGTACCAAGATAATGTTGAAAAAAAAAACATTAATATTTCAACTACACTTCCATGTTATGTCAACAAATTCCTGACCATTTCAAAGTTTGGGGTAAACCTTTTAAAATATAAATGACACCTTTCCAGCAGTTGAGTCAATTTGTTTTATTTAACAGTTTAACACAATCAATGACAAATAGATATAAAATATTCTTTAAAAAAGAAAAGTGGGACAAAAAAAAGACAAATTACAACCTTTAAACATAAAATTAGTTTCAAAAGTCTGACGTCATTATAACTACAAGTGGTCCAACGGTTCAGGGGTCTCATTTATAAAACTGTGCGTAGGATCCTAACTAAAAGTGTACGTGCGCCCAAAAGCCAAAAATAGCGTACGCCAAAAAATATTCAGACTTATAAAACCGTGCGTATGCCAGAACCTGTACAAAAGTCCCAGTCAGCTGAAGATTGTGCGCACATGCGTCTCCACCCCGAAATAACCATATAAGCTTACAACACCTAGTTTAAATGCATATCCTCACCTGCATATAATTTGCACATGCATATTCATCCACATGATACCATGTTTAACAGAAATGAGGAAAATATGAGATACGGATGTGGGTCACATTAAATTGCTAAAAAATTATTTAGTAGCCTATCCTTGCCTTGTTTTTGAATAAATAAATCAAATAGTATAAAATACATTTTAGAGAAAGCTTTTCCTCAATCTTTTCAACTGGCCAAATAGTATTTTTAATTGAATTATATTTTTAATGGAAACAGATAGGCCTTATTGTGCATTATTTGCACGAAAATATTTTCTCAGACCACTTGCCATTATCATGGTAAGAAATCCTCACTGTAGTTGAAGCATTAAACACAGCATATATTATATTATATATTTCTTTAAATTGTGTAGGCCTACTTACATTATCCTAAATGTTTCCAAGAATTTGTAAATTCAGAGAAATTCACAATTTGAAATAGTGCCCCGTCCCATGACACTTGTCGCCTGCCAATGACGTAATATCCACGTTATCCCTGGTTTCCACTTGTACTGCCATAGTAACCATGGCAACAGACGTGGGCAACTGCGTAGCATTTAGCGGCACCCTGTTGTTGTTTCGTTCAAACATTATGGACCATGGCAAGCAGACTTTGGGACAAAACAAGAAATAAAACGAGAATCAATATCGTTTTCGAGATGCCGAGAGGTTCGCGACAAACTTCGACTTGACAGAGACGCCGCTCTTGCATGTGCTTTATGAGACAGGTGAGCAAATGTACATAAAACGAATCTATGTTATATAGCTCAACATGATGAAATGTTAGAATATGATAAGTATGTTATTCTAATGTTGATCGAGCTTTCTGCTAGTCTCATACAGCCAACAAACTAACACATAAAATAACAATATAACTTTCAACTCACTCAAATGCAGTTTAGTATGATAATGTAAAGTTGGACCATGTGAAACAGCGCTGCGTTACCTCACAAGTTTCATTCGTCTAATAAACTGACCTGTGTGAGTAGTAATAAAGCACTTGCGGCTAGTTCGGTATAATTAAATGTCCTTATTCCTTTATATCCGTGGGACTCGCTTGGCGCTGATATCTGTCTCTCATTAGCAATCGTGCCATGGTTCATACCACAGTCATGTTAAAAACATCAATGTATTCACTCATCCATAAACATTAGATCCATCAGCATGACGACAAGATCCATAATTCCGCTTATGCGTCATCAAACTACGCCTTCGTTATTGTAAGAGGTTAGCGACCCTTAGCGGCAAAAAAATTACATATTGTAGCTTTAATTAACGTCTGACTGTTACATGCACAATTATGTATTTCTTTACAACATATATCCTTTAAATTGTTCTGTAATCTAAGAATTAGTGAAGTTTGTTCAGTGGGAATTTTAGGTATTCATTTAATGAGCAGTTTCTGCTTGTTTTTAAATCCATATCTATTACTGTATACTTTAACACTCTCAGTGTTCATGTGTTGTTGTTATTATATATATATATATATATATATATATAGTGGAATCCACAGGAATCCAGTGGATTTGCTCCAATTGAAACATTCTTTTATAAACTCTCATGCTTTTTCCAAATTCTTTATTTTTATATTCGTTATATTATCTTGGACATATATATATATATATATATATATACACACACTCACCTAAAGGATTATTAGGAACACCTGTTCAATTTCTCATTAATGCAATTATCTAATCAACCAATCACATGGCAGTTGCTTCAATGCATTTAGGGGTGTGGTCCTGGTCAAGACAATCTCCTGAACTCCAAACTGAATGTCAGAATGGGAAAGAAAGGTGATTCAAGCCATTTTGAGCGTGGCATGGTTGTTGGTGCCAGACGGGCCGGTCTGAGTATTTCACAATCTGCTCAGTTACTGGGATTTTCACGCACAACCATTTCTAGGGTTTACAAAGAATGGTGTGAAAAGGGGAAAACATCCAGTATGCGGCAGTCCTGTGGGCGAAAATGCCTTGTTGATGCTAGAGGTCAGAGGAGAATGGGCCGACTGATTCAAGCTGATAGAAGAGCAACTTTGACTGAAATAACCACTCGTTACAACCGAGGTATGCAGCAAAGCATTTGTGAAGCCACAACACGCACAACCTTGAGGCGGATGGGCTACAACAGCAGAAGACCCCACCAGGTACCACTCATCTCCACTACAAATAGGAAAAAGAGGCTACAATTTGCAAGAGCTCACCAAAATTGGACAGTTGAAGACTGGAAAAATGTTGCCTGGTCTGATGAGTCTCGATTTCTGTTGAGACATTTAGATGTTAGAGTCAGAATTTGGCGTAAACAGAATGAGAACATGGATCCATCATGCCTTGTTACCACTGTGCAGGCTGGTGGTGGTGGTGTAATGGTGTGGGGGATGTTTTCTTGGCACACTTTAGGCCCCTTAGTGCCAATTGGGCATCGTTTAAATGCCACGGCCTACCTGAGCATTGTTTCTGACCATGTCCATCCCTTTATGGCCACCATGTACCCATCCTCTGATGGCTACTTCCAGCAGGATAATGCACCATGTCACAAAGCTCGAATCATTTCAAATTGGTTTCTTGAACTGGACAATGAGTTCACTGTACTAAAATGGCCCCCACAGTCACCAGATCTCAACCCAATAGAGCATCTTTGGGATGTGGTGGAACGGGAGCTTCGTGCCCTGGATGTGCATCCCACAAATCTCCATCAACTGCAAGATGCTATCCTATCAATATGGGCCAACATTTCTAAAGAATGCTTTCAGCAACTTGTTGAATCAATGCCACAGTTCTGAAGGCGAAAGGGGGTCAAACACAGTATTAGTATGGTGTTTCTAATAATCCTTTAGGTGAGTGTATATACATATATACATACATATACACACACACACACACACACACACACACACACACACATACATACATATATATATATACACACACACACAAGCATCGAAGAATAGAGGTCCCTGACTAAAATACATCTGCAACACTCAACAACTTTCAACGTTATGGAAGTTGATCATTTGATCAATATTCTTAATGTTTGAAATGAATAAGTCATGAGTCTGGCTGACGTACTGTATAGGAAGCATACCCTTTCTCAAAGGCTACTTGTTGAGGTGTGAAGCATATCATGGAAGCTAAACTAGGGCTGATGTCTTGCAAGAGATATATTGTGATGCCACAATCTTTATGAAAGCACACATTTTGAAATTTGTTTTACAAAGATAAACTGTATTTACAAAATTCAAGTTTGTATCACTACAATATAAAAAAAGTGCATCAATGTTGTAAAAAA